TCTTCCGAGTTTGGGTGCTCCAACCCTTGAGTAAGTGTAAACTTTCAACATAAGTATCCACAGCATCAGAGTCAAGAAAACAATGCTTGGGCAACCTAACTCTGGTTTCATTGATCTGCTTGGTTTGAAGATTGTAAATAGCCAGATAAATTTCACCTTTCTTTCCAACATAGTTCACGAGGAGTTCATCATTCGTTGTAAAGCCCAATGGCATAGGCCACATTCCAGGAATAACAACAGTGTGCATCTTATTTAAACACTTCTCCTGGAGCACCCATATGCCTACGTGGAGCTCTGGCTCACTTCTATCGCATTGCAATAAGCAAACTGATTCCTTGTACGCCTGAATTTCTCCCTCAACGCTTCCAAGTCCCTCCACAATAGCCTCTGGCAGCAACACTTGTTCAAATACCTCACTGCCAGTATCAAACGACACGAGATGAAAGCTATCATCCTCTTCCTCTCCCATAATCCAGTATGCTATCCCATTAGAAACTGCATGTCCAGAATGCCAACCCATGGAATTTATCCGAGGAGGAATTACACCAATGCTCTTCCAAGAGTTTGTACTTAAACTGTAAACCTCCACTTCATTGCATTTCTTCCCCCAAATAAACGTTACCAACCTTACTACCTTGTAGTCGTTGAGCCTGGAGTTGAACCCAAATGTAAGAGCACAACGATACTTGTAATCGGGAGGGCAAGAAACGTTGGTGACTGGAAGGCGGACAAATTTCATGATTGATGGGTTACATATGGTTACAGGACAATTCAAATCCAGACTTCTACATGACAGACAAACTAAACCATTACTTGAACCATATAGCCCTAAACCTCCCATGCCCAAGCATGTTGCCTTAAATGTTTCATTAGAGAAAATGGAATGGCGAATTTTGGGTTTGACTTCAGTGCACTGGAGACCAACTAGAAAAGTAAGGCCATGGTTTTTAACATTCCGATTAAGATGTCTGCCTATAAAACTCGAGCTTTCAATCAAATTGCTCCATGACTTGCAAACACACATAAACCGAACAAGGGATTTTACTGGTAATCTTAGTAGGATGCCAATCAAGATTTCTTCAGGGATGTAAATGGAATTCTTGCAGTTTGTGGACGTCATCCTGAGGAAGGTATAATACAGACATAAGTTATAACAAAATTGGGAAATAAATCTAGACCTAGTGCTACATTCAATCATACAAGTAATTATAGTGTAGTACGGTAGTATGGTCATGTGGTATAATCCATATGTTATAATATAAGTGGATATTATTGATATCATTCCCTAAAAGGTGGAAACAAAAACTCTATCGTCCACATCCATATTATAACAAGTGTACAAGTTATATCACGTAGCTGTACTCCAGTACCATACAATAATTTCTCCAACCCTATACCCATGGTCCTTTGTTCAATTTCTACCCTAATATTGTTGCATGAAAAAAATTAATTAACCCAAAAGAAAAATCGACTCTCACTTTTAGTTTGTAATGGGAAGAACATGAAAAAAGAAAGAAAAGGAAAGTCGTTTGCATCAAGAGGAGATCCATGTTTGTCAAATATTAAAATGTAGGCCAGCTTATAAACAGTTCTTGAACTTTCAAACTCCCATACAAAAATTCCACTTTCAGGAGAGGAAAAAAGCAGACGTGTTTATGTCATAATGATTTTTTAACATAAAATCTTTGATTGAGACACTCTCTAAGCTAAGTGTCTAGTTAGTAAACATATGGAGCAAACAAAAATATAAGCAGTGGTATACTTGGAGCTGCAACTCCGTGAAAAGCAAAACTGAAGAAGAAACTCCACATCTACAGAAATACAACCTTAATTACCTGAGAAGCCTGACGACTGTGCAGTGGGACAGATGTGATGGAAGAAATTTTTATTTCTGTTTGATCAATCAACAGGTTATGAGATTTGAAGACAAGGGAAGGACGATATTAAATAATAAGAAGGCAATAATATATGCGGGAGGAGAGAGATAGAGGGCAGGGAGAAAAGAATAAAAAAGCCTGCCAAAAAATAAAACAAAAAGGAAAGTTCTAACTTCCAAGT